TGGTAATGACGCCGACGCCGAACAATAACTTTAACGAATTTTCGCCGATTTCTGATCCAAAATGGTGAATATACAATTGTATGAAGGTCGTCGTTTTTCTCGTTTTGCTTCTAGATATACGATATACCGGCACCGTTTTTGATTGTCTGGACCACTTCAGTCATCTGCACATACATATATACATAGGTCTGTTGTCGGCGACGAATCGATCTTGAATTGTAAATATTCCGCTAGCGATCGCTCCGTTCGATCAAGTATTTTGTCGGAGAGCGAGAAAAACAATACTAAATTGTTCCTATTCTGCAGAAATTATAGGTATACATAGGATCCAAATGCACGGTCAGCAAAATTATTCACCACATAGGGAAATCGAAACAAAGCGAAATGGCTAAACCCCATTGAGACCTTTGCCGTGTGAATTCGTAGTACAAAATTCGTCATACGACCTATCGCGTTGTGAGCAACGCTTTTGTAAGAAAATAAACAAGTTAGGTGGGAGGTGGCAAAAAAGGCTATCCTTCTACAATATGTAATGTATACCCTATTTAAGACTTTAGTTATTTTTATTTACATTTATTATGTGCGATATGAGCCATGTTTTGGCATTGTGAGTGTGTTTTGAGGCTTGAACCTATTAGTATAAAAATATTGCAAAATAGTTCCGCGATTGAATCATATACCTCGACAGGTCCAGCTGTGTATTTTATGGTATTCGTGATAAATCTTTTTTGGCGATCCGCTCCCAGCTAGGATTGCCTTTGTAATCACCAAGTCCCTCCACTTCAAATTGTCTGTCCACGTGCGTATTACATGTTACGCTCCTGCGATTGTTTTTGGCTGGGCCGATCAAAGCTTGACATGCACTTCAGTAAGGCGAACATACTAGTATCTGAAAATAATTATGCCCATCGTTGTCATGGCAACAGCCGAAAACTGGAATTGTGACCGTGGTAAAATAAATTATTGAGTAAATATTTCGGACATATATCAATCTACTCTAGACGAATGTGTCCCTAAAGTTACTGTTTGTTTTTTTAGTCGAGACCAATGCTTCTACGAGTTGACACTATGCATTACACCGATTTTCCGAACGAGAAAATATTTCAACACTTCGTTCATCAAACGTTCAAAGTTTTTAGTCTATGTAAAGCATTAAACTTTAACTTGATAGGTCTTGGAATCAATTCAAGTCTAACAGGCAATATATGTACGTTGTTGTTGTTGTTGTTGTTGTTGTTGTTGTTGTTGTTGTTGTTGTTGTTTGTCTTTGCTTGCGGTTTTTTGTTTTTGTTTTTGTTTGTTTGATTTTTTTATTCAAATTTGTTATGTTTGTTTTTCTTCATATCTTTATTGCATTTTATTCAAAATCCCAATAGGGATACGGACGCAATAAAGAGTATTATTATTACGTATTAACCTTTCTTTGATTTTTTTTCTGTACCAACTTTGTTCAAACTTGATTGGCTGACACAGCTGAACTCTAGCCAAGTGATTGATTTATCGCCAATTAGTCTACCGTCCTGTTTAAATCTTAGTTGAACGCGAAAATATAAAAAATGATCAGGACTAAGCAGTTCCACCATATGACTCCGAGTCATAACATTTTTACTAAATTTTTACTTTTTTTAGTAAAAAATGCAGTTTTTCATTCAAATTTTCCCCCCAGATTTACGCCAGTTTGAAAGTGTGCCTCTTGTGCCCAAAATTGTAAAAATAAAAGAAATAAAGGACAAAAATACTCGTCACTCGTTTGAACATCATGTAACTCAAAACAAATCTTGCGTGTTTGCCCTATTTGAAAAGAAAATGATATTTTGATATTTTTTTATTAGACGCATAAAATCCTTAGGAAAGGATAAAAAGGGTCTTACAGAAAGAAATTAAAAAAAAACTACAATCTAAAAAATAAAACAAAAAATAAAAACTTTTCTAAAAAAAAACAAAACAAGTCAAAAACAAAAAAAGACAATTTGCAGCCAATGGTGAATACAGAATATAGAATGAACACAGAATGTGGCCTAATACACTGATAGTTGTTGCTGTTTTGTTCCATAGCTGTTTTTTAAGAAGACAGCTAAGGCTGGTGCTAGAGTATGGTTTGCCATAATCAAAATGAATTTATTCTGACTATTTTCTTTATCAAAATTTGGAATTTTATTTTGTGCAGTCAGGAATATTTATGCTGATGTGACTGTACAATCCCGCCGAGCACTGAAAACTCGTATGAACACGGGCTATCTGCTTAACTCGGGATTCACCTAAAATAACATTGCATGAGATGTTATCATCAAATACTACATACAAAGTATTAGTGTTCCATTAGCGATGATTTGTTCACGTTTTTTTTTCTTTTTTCCAAAAAAAGTTCATGTTACGAAGTATGGTGCTTCGAATAACGGCAATATTTTTTCTTGTTTCTTTTTATAAAACAGTATTCTATTGGCTGAATCTAAGTAATTACGCTTGTCTCATATTCAACCAAAATTTGTTTCATAAAAACCCGCTAAGAAAAGGAAGAAAACATATATTATAATAACTACCAGTTTTGGTACGAAAAATTATTTGATTTGGCGAGATCTAAACTCATATCTAATTCCGGGCTTTCAGATATCCAGCCAATCAGAAACAATCTTACAAAGGTGTTTGTTGAACCCAAATTCAGTCACCTGATATCGATTAATGACCTTTCGTATGATTTGAGAGACAGCTTTATCTGGAATTCGTGTCATTTTGTCCGTATTTCCCCCGTAACTACTTAAACTGAAGACATTTATTGACATAAGTTCTTCAGAGAACCCGCCAATATGGCTGGATCAGCCTTGAAAAGGCTCATGGCCGAGTACAAACGTAAGTAAACAAAATATGGTGTAAATTCAGTCACATCCAATGGTTGATGTTTACGTATGTTAACGTGTACATTTGTTACGTTTTCGGATTTTCGGTGAGTATCTCTTTCACAGTGCCGTATAACGTAATTTTTGTTTCACATAGACAAACTGAGCGCTGCTAGTAAAAAGTATGAACCACAGCCCCTTTCTCGTGATAGTGAAACTGTAAATATTCGTTTGAAACCGCCGGGTGGGTGACCGGCGTGAAGTGGAGGGCTTGTTTTCATTTTATTAACATGATACCGTGATGGAAATAACACGACTGTGCACTGTATGCAGGATTTGTCACATATACGTTATTCCGAGACTTTTTTTTTCTTAGTTAATTGTACAACCATAGAGCTAACAAGAATATGTGTAATATTAATAATAATCTTTATTGAAACCGTATCCCTGAGTGGGATCTTAGTTAAAAAAAACAAAAAAACAATAAAGTAACAACAACAAAAAAACAAAAACAAAACAAACAAACAACAAAGTGTAACAACAAGACAATCACAGACATTTGAACGTAAAGAAAAGGAAAAATTTGTAAATGTATTTGTTATAATCCAGTGCCGTATTATGACTGATGATCTAAAAAAATTTGAATACATCTTTATTACATAATTATTGAAAAAAAACTTCCCCTATCGGTATTCCAAATATTGTATTTCCTTCAGTAGAAGCTCTCTTTCAATTATTCAGCTTACAATTGTGAATTTTAAATTCCCTGTGAAAATACAGTATTGTATGCAACTAAACATATTTGTTGATATTACATCACTATTGGTTACTAAAAACTGAATGTTCATATCCTACAGAGCTCACACTGAATCCACCAGAAGGAATAGTCGCTGGACCTTCAAATGAGGAAAATTTTTTTGAATGGGAAGCATTGATTGTGTAAGTATTTGAGATTCATTTCTTGAAATTCAACTTATGTGGCAATAATCTCTAAATGTCACACTGGTACTTTCTGGGTGACACATCCTGTTACTTTCTTGTTGACACAATGGGCAACAATTGGGTATAATATTGGAAATTATTGCTGTATAAAGGACAATACCCCAGAAAGTGACAGAATGTGTGACCTTTTGGGGTCATGCATAAAACCTGAATATTTTACTGATTCTAATTTCTCCATCAAACTTATCCAAAACATTATGTACACTAGTACCAAATTTTAAGAATCATGTGTTCCAGAAGATAACATTTATTCTGATGCTTCTGCTGGTATTTATATTATTTGACTGTCATCTCAAAACTATTCAAATCATTTCTTGTTATGCAGGAAAACCAATATGTTCTTTTGTCATTTATACTGCCCCCTGGTGTCAACTTTAAGGAAATGTTGGGGTATTTCAAACATGTTATGTTATTTATTTCCAAAGTCCTAAGGGGACATGTTTCTTAGGCGATGTATTACTGCCCTCTGGTGTTTATGTAAGAAAATGATATTTCAACATGTTGTTTATTTCAGCGGTTCTGAGGGAACATGTTTTGAAAGCGATGTGTTGCTGTCCTCTGTTGTTAAGTGTAATGTAAGGAAATGTAGGAGTTAATCAGATATTTCAACATGTTGTTTATTTCAGCGGTCCTGAGGGAACATGTTTTGAAGGTGGTGTGTTTCCAGCAAAAATAACTTTCCCACCTGACTATCCACTAAGTCCTCCAAAAATGAAGTTTACAAGTGACATGTTCCACCCAAATAGTAAGTGTTCACATTAGCCTAGATAGTGAGTCCACTATACTGTATTGTATTGTTGCACAGAAAGTTATTTTCTGCTGAGATTTGTACTTTTAGGTGGAATTTTTATGTTTATATGCATTATTTTATCGCATGAATTAGTGTGAAATGCAGGGCGTATGTCTTGAGCTTTATTTGATCAAGTCAATGTAAAAGTACATAGGGGATGGCAGGATAAGGGTTAAAATTTCAATGAATTTCAACAAAGGAAAATGTATGTATGCTGTCATTTCAGCTTTCTATGTAAATATTTTTTCAAACTTTCTTCGCAATCATGATCAGCTATTGTTAGACAGTAAATTTGATTGGTTACTGGTATTCACATGATATACGGATATTCTGTGTGCTGCGATTTAATTAGGTAAAGAGTCATTCCCTTACTTCAGCTTGAAGTTAAGACATGTTTGAATAAATTTGCCTAGCTATATGATAAACAGCGGGAGAATTTGAAATTCCTACTTTTGTCTCAACCCTTCAAAAGCCATAAATTTTCCCACTAAAATATATTTTGTACATTTTTCTACATTTTTTTATTACTTTTGGAGCAAATGGACATAATTGCCTATTGGTAACAAGTCCTGATAAAATTTAAAATATTGTTGAGTTTATTATTATGGGGACAAAATAATTTTTCTTTAGTATTCACGTGGTTTAATTTTAAGTGGCAGTTCATTTATTTAAATAAATATACTACATATATTTAATATTTGGTATTCATTTTAAGGACATATTAGATATAGTCTGTGTTTTAGACCAACTTGCATAAATTGTACATTAGTATGGAATTATTGAGCCAGGTAGAATCGTAACGTTTTGTAGCAATAAACATTCCCTATGTACAAAGTGCCTGTGATAGTGAAAAAGCTGTTATCAGATAATTTTTGAACTTAAATATTTTATACAAAAACGCACCCTTGATTGATTTTAATGTATCTGATGAGTATATTGTAAAAGATATACCAGTAATTAAAAGTATGGCCACAATGTCTATGCATTCTCATTGAAAATCCAGTTCTTCAGTGTTTTTAGAACACAAGTGTAATTCCAAAAGTTGTTACATTCTCTGACAACAAGGAGTTACAGATTTCATATTAGCAAACACCCATTACCAAATTACAACAGTTTCTAGCAGCAAAGACTAAAATTTGCATTTTCATATTTGTCATTTTTGATCTGACCAATCACTGCTTCTCATTTACAGTTTACCCAGATGGTCAAGTTTGCATATCAATTTTGCATGCACCTGGTGATGATCCAATGGGATACGAGAGTAGTGCCGAGAGATGGAGTCCCGTACAGAGTGTGGAAAAGATATTACTCTCAGTCGTTAGTATGCTGGCAGGTAAGGTTTATGCATCAAGTTCAACTGTTATGTTCTTCTCTGTACTCTCGATGCTGAAGTGTGCAGAGAAACGAAATACTTTGATGATGGATGGAACATGGCTACATGTAATAAAATATTTTAAAATTTTAAAAGCGAAAGTAAAATGTTTTATCAAATAAATGACAAAGAGCTTGTTTCCGTGCAACAATGATTTTGGATTTTCCTGAACAGCAAACTATACTTTGGTGACCAGATTTGGATTAGAAAATGAGCAAAATACGTACAATTGAGGTTCAGATTTCAAAAACTATGTTTGGATATGATTTTTCGTCAATCTTGCAAATGCCTTGCAAAGAAATTAAAATTTTAGAAAGTTCCCTGACCATCCTTAATTATAGAAATTAATCACACAGTACAGTAATAAAATGTTCATTTATTATACTGTAAAATGACTAATTTTCACTGGGTTTAAATTTCGCTGATTTATCATTTTAGGCATATTCAGTGGGTTTTTATTTCAGTTTTATCATTTAGATAATGTGTTCTATGCTAAATTTTACATATTCACTGGGTTTTAATTTAACGCATTTTTGAGTCAGCGAAATAAGCAAAATTAAAACCCAGTGAATAATTAACCCTTTCACAGTATATATATTTATATATAATTATATACATGTATTATATATAATCCTATGATATTATCTCTTACATTAACATAAGCAGACACAATTGATTACAGTCAGAGTTTTGTATCAATCTAAGCCGCAGGTGAGGATTGACGCTACTCTGGCAGTAATCAAGTGTCGTGGTATCATATATTTATCATATATCTCTCCACATTATGATATAGTGAGTGTTGAGTACAGAGTGTTGACAGTGGAAGTATTGCTGAAATAACACTCAATACAAATATATTATTGTGCATGACTTGTAATAATAATACATACGCATAAAATCTGTATGAAAGGATGAAAAGGGTTACAAAAAGAAAATTAAAATCTATAAACTAAAAAAAAAATCAAAACTTTAGGTTATTTGGAACTTTATTTTGGTCAGTCAGAAATAATTTGTCCCTATGATGACTGTATGCTAATTTTATTAACGATACGATGTTCTATATCATGCAAATGCCTTATGTAGGCTATATGACGATTCTGCTTGTTCATAATATCTGCTCAAATTTGTTAGGATATTTGAAAATTTTCTGGAGGGACTATATAATAATTCTGAAATTACACACATGATCTTGCCAAAATGAACCATTATGGTTTATGACTCATTGCTAAACAGATGATACATGTATCTACTCCAGAATGTAAATTTTGACATGTGACGGAATCATTTTCTCCTGTGCAGCAGACCTGATGATGGTGCCTCTTCAATGTACTTATTTCTATTGTAACTTTTACATAATTTTTGTTGTGTGTGTCTTCCTTGATTTCAGAACCCAACGATGAAAGTGGTGCCAATGTTGATGCATCCAAAATGTGGCGAGACGATAGACAACAGTTTAACAAGATGGCAAGACGACTTGTCAGAAAATCTCTAGGCCTTTAGATGGAGTTTAGGATTGCTGGGTCAAGTGATTCCCTCAACTTACACAAGTATTAACTCCCTTAACATCCAATTTGCCATGTGCAAACTCTTCTGATATTAAACATTTGTACCAGCATGTCATCATGGACTTATTTCAGTTTTCAGTGTCACATGATAGTTTTTTTTCAAGTATTTCATAAAATCAGTCATATTCGTTGCTATAGTTACAACAAGGATTTATTAGATGAAGGTTTACAAATGGTGTGATATGTGATAAGGATCTTGCATGAATTAAGTTAAGAAGTTGTGAAGAAATATGGGTTGAACAATTAACCTACATTTTAATACAAATTAGTGAAAAGAGCAGATTCATGTTTATCTCTGATTATTTTGGTAGTGTCCTCGCTTATTAATTGCAAAGCGTGCAATATGTGTGTTTTTCAACACAATGATAAACGTGCTCATTTCTGTTCTCTCGATTATACCTTGCCAAGCATCCACTGCCTTTCTGTGACACTATTGACTAGAAATAAATTTGATTGACGTGCTCGCAAAGCACGAGAGTTCGCTTCTCCTGAGATCTACATCGCATACATGTTTATGAAAGTTATAAACCCTTATGTTATACATCCTTGGTTAAAATCACTAAAATGGTCCTCCAAGTGTATGTCTGTCATCACACTGTTACTTAGCAACAAGATTTCTTGGAAATGTTAAAGTCACTTATTTAATTTTAACCTTTTCATCACCACTTCCTTCTTTTCATTACAAATTCACAAAATAGTCCCGTTTATAATCTGCATTTTTCTTCAGAAGAGTGGGATAAAATGGCCAAATTTTTTGAGTGAAAATGTTCACATTTAATTTTGTCTAAAAAAAAAAAGGCTAAAGCTCCACAGTCGTTGCACAATAAATACAAGTATTCATATTTTCTGTAAACATGCACTACATTTTACATATGTTGCATGGAACCCATATCAAACACGATACGATACGACACTACTGTAACCCTTTACTGCTGTGGTAACAATGTATACTATTAGGCGATATGGTTTTTGTGCGAGTTTAAATCAGAAGCCTGATACAAAGATTCTCTTTCACCTTGAAAGCTGGTGTGTGCTACATATGTCACAATGCATTTATTTTTGATGCACAGAAATGCATGTTGTAATTTTAAAAGTTAGAATTACTTCCTCTTGGATGGCCCAACCAGCAGGCTGCTAGCCAACCAAGAAATGTGTTACAAATAACTGTTCGACAACCAACCATGAAGCTTCAAATGGGATCATATCGAGCAGTACGATTATGAAGGTTTTATAACCATATTATTTGTGTATAACAATTGTGTGCACATAATGTGAACATAAATTTTTTCAGTATTGAATTTTCTTCAATCTACCTTTGACTAAGGTGTCATTGAAATCAGTTTGACCCATAAAGTTCTTGTCTTCTGTAGTAATTTATCCACTACATCCTGTTTTATTCATGAGATTTTTGTGGTTTGCGATGAGACTACTTTATTATACTTTTAGGAAACATTATACTGTACTAATTTTAACTGATTTTTGACACTGATATTTGAAAACAGGTTTATTCACTGGATTTTATTTTCACTGAATTATTTTTTGAGCTAAAATAGCGAAAAATTAATTCCAAGCAAAAATAAAGTATTTTAAAGTATTGTCGCTATACTATATTATTCAGGAAGTTGTCAAAACTTTGGTCACAGAAAAAAATTTATGCAGAAAATATTGGACGTCACAAACCACGCTTATCGTTAGACACAACTGATGCTGTTGCCTGACCTTGAACTAGATTTGCATGTTCATTCGAAAATTGTTACCGGGGTATTTTATATTTATTAATTCCTAAAAAGCGTTTTATGAACAAATGCATATATCCATTTCTGTATTTCACAGCATTATAAAAATTAAAATTAGATTTTTTTCAGTTTGTTATGAATTGTGGAATTTCCCACTTGATGGAATAAATAAGTCTATATAAAACAGAAATTGTAAATCAGTTGTGAATAAGGTCGGGAGAGATTTGGTAGACAAGAGCAGATAAAAATAAGTGTATATGCTATTTGAGCAACTTGCAAGAAAGGATCTCATGAAGGGTCTATAGAGTTTGGAAAAAAAAACTTGTATAGTAAGCTGGCAAGATGAGTGACAGCATGGAATTTGTTCATATTATCTCCACCTTGATTGTGTGACAAACCATGTACACTAGCTCTAATGTGACAACATGCTGATGTGTTTTTAACCAGAATTCATACATTGATATTTACTTATAGCAGTAGTGAACATGGCCAGTTTTTTACCTTCAGATGTAAATGATTGGTTTATGCCAACCAGTTACTGCTCATGAATGCGTGCAACAAAAACAAAATAACTATATAACTGCAATAAATTGGCAAGTTGAAATATAGATCACCTCCCGACTAACAACTACCTCTGAGCTAAACGTTTCATTTTTTAAACAGTTTGACGATACTTCACAGTTGTCTATATTTGGACATTCCAAAATTATATATATAAAGTACTGTACTGTTAGATAAGAGTTACAACAATGCCAACAATGTATTGACTCAGAGTTACATTATGTAAAAAAAACACATTTATGTAAATCATAGATGCCCTGACCACTGAACTGTGATGAAGTGAAACAAAAAATACCATCACAGTGTATCAGTCTATTTGTTTTCAGTTTTGTAAGTACCGGTAGCTCACTGTGCTATCTGTTAGGTTAACACACACATGCCCCCCCCTCCCCCCTGACATAAAATATTCATCATAAAGGTCACCAATATGAGTATGGCAACCACAATTTATTTTTTCCATCCTGTTTTGTGTGACAATATAGATCCTATAGAATCTATAGTGTAAAAGAAATATGTTGCATAGCCATGTGTTTATATCTTGGCTATATAATATTCAAGGAAATCTGATCATCTGAATATGTTTCAATGGTAGCCACCTACTTCACTTGATATATCTATGAGTTATCGTTTTTTTTCAACAGAGGATGTGTTCCCCTTCAACATTCTGAAAAGTTGATAGGAAAATAATCAACTTGTTAACGAGTACGAAACGAGACGTTACCAAGCTTTTAATTAGGTATTTTTTTAGGTACCGAAGGAGTCGCCGATGGTAATTAGTGCAAGTCGCGCCCAGGTCAAACCTCATACTTCTATTAGAAGAGCGCATTTAATTTATCAATACTAATATTGCACATGCGCAGCACATTTCAATTAAAGAACAGAAGATATCATTAGAAAATGAACAATATGCATAGTATCAATGCAATGGGACTTGCTGTTTTCAACAAGAATTCAAAAATATAATTTTTAACCATAAATGATTGTGGTTTTTTAACAAGAAGAAAATATCACTTTTTACCAAAAATGACAAAAATATTTACCAAAATTAGAGAATTGAAGATATCATTACAAAATGAACAAATCTGAGAGAGGTCGACATGTAGTACCTATATATGTAATATCAAAGCAATTGGACTTGCGGTTTTTAACAAGAAGTTGAAAATATCACTTTTTACCAAAAAAGACAAAAATATTCACCAAAATTAGAAAATTAAAGATATCATCATGAAATGAACAAATTTGAGAGTGGTCCACATGTACCGTAGTACCTATATATGTAATATCAAAGCAATTGGACTTGCGGTTTTTAACAAGAAGTTGAAAATATCACTTTTTACCAAAAAAGACAAAAATATTCACCAAAATTAGAGAATTGAAGATATCATTACAAAATGAACAAATCTGAGAGAGATTCACATGTAGTACCTATATATGTAATATCAAAGCAATTGGACTTGCGGTTTTTAACAAGAAGTCGAAAATATCACTTTTTACCAAAAATTACAAAAATATTCACCAAAATTAGAGAATTGAAGATATGATCATGAAATGAACAAATCTGAGAGAGGTCTACCCAAGGTACATATACACCAAGTATCAAAGCATTCAGGCTTGTAGTTTTCAAGAAGAAGTCGAAAAAGTAAAACATTGACACGGACGACTGACGTCGACGGACAATCACTCATATGATAAGCTCCACTCGACAGCGGAGCTAAAAACTGCATTAGCTGACGAAGCACGTGTTAAAGGTGTAAAATGGTGTAGAAGCTAGTTTGAGGCGTGTACGTCAACAATCGTACACCAATGACCATAGTTTAAAAGCAGCCAGAGCCTCATCAGATTTATTCAGATTTTCATCAGTTTAGGGACATCTCTATTTATAAAGAAATCTGCATGCTTTTGTTATTAATATTACTAAAAACAAGGTTACTTATTTTAAATATACAGCGTATTAGGAATCTTAATCTGTTGATCATACATTGCCCAAACAGAGTGAATGCATTTTATAATCTCCATATGGTTACTAAATCTAAACATATTTAACAAAATAAATCAGCAAGATCAAGAAAAAGTTGTTTTCTAAAATGTAATTGCACAGGAGGCTTTTCTGAAATTGCCATTTTTCATGGAAATTGATTTTTTTTTTAAAAACACACAAAAAGCTGTAGGGTACACATTTTTAAACTGATGCAGAAATATATCATGTGACTATAAATTGAGCTTAAAACAAAAAACATAAAAATCGCATACAGGGAACATTGTTGCGATATTTTCATATTACCAGTACTTATCTAACATACATCATATAAACTACAACATTCTCACTCAAATTGGGTGCCATGGTTACATAACATTCACTAAAAATAAATAATTGTGACGACAAAATATAAAATTCAGTCATGCTGAAAAGGACAAAAAAAAATACAGAAGTCATTGTTTTATTGGAATATTTATTGAAATTTTAACATGGAGTACAAGAGTTAGGTGTAATTAATTGAAAAAACAAAAATATTGGGAAATAAATAATATTAATTATGGAGTCTAGAAACTAGGTGTTAACTCATGGGAAAAACACTTCATAAATTTTGATTTTCTTAAACAAATACTGGCAGTTGATAATACTGCAGGCAGACCAATCACTGGACATGCATTTTACCATGATGTAATGGAGAGCACAGATTTTTGACCAGCTGTGCACAAGTGATTCTAGACTGACAAATTCATAGATGTAAATACGTGTTGAATCAAAATAAATGTAAGAAAGAAAATTTAGTAGTACCAGTAGTAAATTTTTTTTTTTAATAAAGATGACATTATCAAAGATTTCTAATTTGAATACTGCTTCGTAATTCTGATATGCTTTTTTTTTCACTGAATTTGCAGAAAAAATTCATTATGAATGTATTTGACAAATACAATGTACAAGCTTGCAAATAAGTAAATAAAATAAGTCATTTCAATGCAAAATACTTAATTTGGCAATGAACTAGAAATGTTTTCACTTTCATAATATAATTGTGACAACTGTCAATTTAAATCCTTTCATTATAATGTAGAGTAGTATAAAAATACATTTTAAACAATATAATAAGGTGTTATTTATTATAGAAATGACAATTCAAAACTGGAAAATATCAGTCATTTATGAATGAGCAATATGTCTATCAGTCAAAGCATGTCGGAGATAATGCTCTTGAACCACATTCATTAAAACAAAATGGCCGCCAATCAGAAATTTGATCTGATCTGAAAGACAAAAAGACATGCATCAAGCACCAATAATGTCTAATGTGTGTACCAAGTTTGAATGAAATCCACCCACAAACGACCAATATCCAACTCCCATTTGAATGATACTAGTGGTAATATTTTTGGCCAAAGTTTTTGTACTTGCAAATATAGAGAAAATATATAGTGACCATAACAGTGAGGTGTAGCTTCAGGGTGCCATTTTGCATATTGTGGTAACGTTCGGTATGATCTGTGAAGCAAGACAGTTGGAATCTAATGCAAAGGCCGGCTGTGAACACACATTTCTACAAGACTCAAAATAAATAAATACAAAATGATCAATGCAAACAATGATCTACTTGATTTATGCAATGCACTGTATTGACTATAATATAGTGGCAGTGATTTTTTTTTTCTACGCTGTCCAAAATTCACTGAAGTCGGTAAAAACTATCACCATTAAACCCAAGACTTGAATAGATGAATGCTCTGCATTACAGTTGTATTGTCAGCAACCTTTTTTTTATCATTTGGCATGTGAGTAATATTTGTAATAAATTCAACAATATAACTGGGCTTTTCTGTAAATTCATTTGTGATCAAGTTTTCAGCATTTTCAAGAAAGAAAATAACAAATTTTGTTTGGGTTTATAATTAGCTGTTTAAGTTACCAAAAAAAAAACCAGAATACTGTAAAACCATTTATTTTCACTATTTTGTTGTGTTGAGCATATTCCCAATTTGTCAAGGAAACAATAGGTTCACGAAGCTTCAATTTTGATGGTTTTACTTAATCAGTGAAATTAAAACCCAGTGAATAATTAATGCATTTACAGTATGTAGACAAATTTTAACCAAATGTTTGCCAGGAGAAAACATAGTGGATAAGGTTAATACACCACCTGCTCATAGTCTCAACATATAGTCAAGTGAAAAGAAAAAAAAGAACGCCAGCAGGCTACGCGTTAACGAGATACATTTTCAGTTTAACAAAGTATCAAGCATATGACCACTGTTTACATCAGTGATAGTTTATTTACCAAAGCAGTCTGACGAAATTAAGAAAAGTGTTTGTAGTCACTGCTTATTTTGATTGTTATTAAAACTATATGTATAGTTGAAACATTGACTGATACCAGAAATTTGATTGTACTAGTAGTTTAACACAGATGAAATTTTACATGCATTATTAAATAAGTAGCGCATGTACTTATGGTTAAAAAAAAAAAGAAAAAAGGCAGATCAAACTACCAGTATGTCATTTAAATGATTTAGCATACTACAATTGGTTTATGCATACTTTCAATAGAGTAGTTACTTGAATTAATTCTGGTCAGAAATTCACCCATTACACAATTTTGTGCCTTTCCCCAGACATTCAAAATTAATTTTTTGTGAGTTAAAGAGCTGCTAACAAGAAACAGTACCATTGTAATTATAAAGTCACTGTTTCGAAATTTGTCTATTTCAGCTTTTTTCTTCTTGTTGACCACAATTTGGCAAGAAATAGGTATTCATAATCCAGTAGAGTTCATTTGTTAAATATCTGAATAAATTTTAGATGCTGAAATGATCATCATTAATTGAATCTCCAACCCCCTAAATTCACAAGAAGTAGAACAACCCAGGCATACAGAATATGGGGTCATTCCAAGTTGTAGGGGTTGAAAGCATTAAAATGATGGATCATTCCATTTTTCACTTCATGCGTACAATGTAAGGCACACTTATTAAAAATCAGCTGTTTTGGTTGCAAATCTTAAATATACAGACACCATTATATGTATTTTGATAGAAGACATGCACATATAGTAGTTATACTCATAATAATATTATTATGCATCTTCCAAACTTGGTGTATGAAGCTCAGAACTGATCAAGGTGGTGAAAACTTTCTCACTATGAACAAAAATTTGAAAACATGTCAGCCATCTTGTTCCATATTTGGAATTCACATTTCCTAATAAGGTTAGATGCAAATAACCTATGCAATGGCACACCTTAAGGGGGTTGCAGTATGGAAATAAGTATAATACTATTTATCATAAAGTTTAGTTTCATTTTGATGGCAGTATCTGTGCTCAAGACAGATCATCAAACATGTATTTAGCCAGACATCACATAGAGACTCAAATTCAGCCCCAGTTACAACAACATCACAACAAATACAAGACTGTCAAAACAAAACCTCAGTAAAAATTTTTATTTTCATACATGCCTGTTAGAAAATTAAAGAGCTTGTGGCGAAACTACGCGAGAAATTTGAAGCTTTCACAACTGGGAGTTTCTTGTCGTTGGCGACTGACACGCAGAGTGGGGGGTAGGGAAGAATGTTCATACTGCTGGTACCATGCCAATTGTCAACGTTTTGCAGGATAGTTGTTTGATTTACAGTGTGTGTGTTGGCAGTTCCGTGTTCTTTGCAGGTTTCGTAGTGATGTATACGCGTATTTGGCAAGTTGTAGGGTTGGGTTTGATTTATGCAATGAATGCAATAATAAGCACAGTTAGTCAAAGTGGAAAGGACGTTACATGCACAGCACGATAGAAACCTGACACACATCGATAGTATATCAAATTGCAAGTTCAAGACGAATAGCAAAGATTCCTGCGAAGGCACTATTTGGAGGACTAAATCCACAAGAGAGACAGATGGAGTCACGGTAATACTTCCTGGGGTGAAGCAGCCTCTGCTCACAAATCTGGCAACTCCTGTTCCAGAATGGTAAATCGGCATCAGATAGGTCGGTTCCAGGACTGGTATCGGAATTTCAGTTAATGGCGCAGTACTCATGGTTGACTGTAAGGCTAACGCGGATGATCCGATCATTGCTGCCGCACACATACCGTACATCAAGGCACATATACTGGCAACCTGAAATAAACCATGGATACAAAAATGATAACGTTCATGTGCAAAAAACATAGCTAACAAACTTGTTTGCATGGGAACTACTTTATAATTTCACTCACACACCATTTTGATTTGAAAAAAAAACGATAAAAATCTAACAAACTAGCATGTGTGGGTTTTCAATTCAAAAATCATCACAGGCAAATTATTTTTTCCAAATTCAAAAAAAAAAATTCAATTCCTAATTTCCGAGTTACTATTTTTCTCACGAACTTCGATAGAGGGCGTTCTCAAAGTACCCGGATGACAGTCCGTTCAACGTTCGTCGTGGGGTTGAATTTGAGCGGCGTCTGCTGTAAGCAATATACTAGTAGTTACTGTTGCCTAAGTCTTACTTTTTACGAACGTTTTGCAAGAATTGGTCAAAATGGTTAACTGGTATTGTAATGCTATTCCTGGGGTTTGATTAAAAAGAAAAAAAACAGCGAAATATCCTGAGATGAAAGGCGTAACTTTTCATACATTTCTTTCGTCCAAGAAATCATTTCAACGCCAGTGGATTCGAATGCGTCGTCGGGAACCTGAGTGGATGCCAAACTATATTCCCGGG